CAACAACAGCAAGTCCCAATACGTTGGTACTTTCGCCAAAACTGCAAACTAACGAATTCTAAGTTTTTCATATTTTTATAAGTTCGTTGCCTCTGAAATTGTGTTGATTCGCTCTTTCACAGTGTGATTGTGAAGTTCCAAAAAATAACTAACATGTACAGGTGCGCGAAGCTGCTACGCTGATTACGACAACAGTCCAGCCAGCAAAAAATCCGAAAATGAATCGGACAACGAAAAGAAAAGGGGATGAAATGGGGATTGTCCGTTTATCGATTCCATTCTCGGACACCTTGACGATTCGTTGATCAAACAGTTTGCGTTGTGTATGGCAAATCGCCTCATTTGCAACGAAATGGAAAAAAAAACTAAAATTTTTTACATTGTGAACCGGAAGAAAACTAAAATTCTTTGCTTGAACGAGTCATGTTTGCATGGTGTATGGTGGAGAAAGTAGGTTTGGATTAAGTTTGACAAGCCCCTTGTGTAGTGAATTTTCTTTACGCTCTTTAAGCAACCCTGCAGTAAATCGCGTTAGTTCAGAACTAGCTCTTTAAGAGGCGGTACTGGTTATCGATCTATCCCAAAGCAAAGCTTTCAACTGTCTCTTTTTACATGGCGATGTCCTCCGAAGTGGAAATGGCCCCCTCTGCAGATCTTTCGAACTGGTTCCATTTTGGACAGTTCTGGGACAATAAACTCGAATATTGGATATTTTTTCTTTTCTGAACTGGGTACATTTTGGGCAGATTTGCGACAATTAGTTTTTTATGAATAACAAATTTTGATTTTTAGATTTTTTGATGTTTTTTCGTTTTTTTCTGTACAGATTTCATTTTATTAAATTTTTATTTTTATTTTATTTTATTTATATGTATTAAATTTGATAATTCTCTCTTCAACATTTAAGCGGCACTCAACACTTAAAATTTTTTAAATCTGAAAATCACAACTGACTGGACCGCGGTTTTAACTCGCCACCAACGATGTTAGAGTCGGAGGTCTTTCCGCTCAGCTATTTTCGTATTGTACGTGAAGTGAGAATTTGTACATTTTCTTTTTCAGCAGAGCGCAACTAGCACACCGAAATTTTCGACTGGGGTCGCTTCCCTGCAGTAAAATTTAGAGGCAGTCTGTTAAAGCGCTAGTTCCGCCCTATACATTTCAGAACTATCTCTGAACTGGTACAAAACGGCTGCAGAGAGGGACAGTTGAAACTTTTGGTGTGCTAGTTGCGCTCTGTTGTGAAGTAAATGCACAAATTCTCACTTCTCGTACAATACTAAAGTAGCTGGGCGGGAAGACCTCCGACTCTAACATCGTTGGTCGCGAGTTCAAATCGCTGTGGAGGCACTTGTGATTTTCAGATTTAATAAATTTAAATTATTGAGTGCCGCTTAAAAATTGAAGAGAAAATGATCAAATTGAATATAAATAAAATAAAAGAATAAAAAATGCAATAAAATGTAATCTATAATAGAACAGAAAAAATTAAATAAATTAATAAAATCGAAAAATCTAAATTTTTTCAAAAAAAACTTATTGTCGCAGAACTGTCGAAAATGGAACCAGTTCAGAACTAGTTCGAAACTTCTGCAGAGGTGGCAATTTCCACTTCGAAGGACATTTGCCATGTAAAAAGAGACAGTCGAAAGAATTGCGTTGGGATAGATCGAGTACCGCCTCTTAAAGAGCTGGTTCTGCGCTAGTTCTGAACCAGAGCGATTTACTGCAGGGTTACTAGAACCACAAAACAGCTTGTCGAACAGTAGACACAAGAGAGTAAGACTGTTTCCATACACTAAAAAATTACTTTACTGCTTAATTACAAAATTTAAATGAAAGTTTAAAAAATTTGCCTGCACCACTAGTATACTCTAACCGCTAGCGGCACCCCTGGCATACGCTCGTGCCACCCCAGGGTTCAGCTGCACCCATTTTGGGAAGGCTGGACATATACACCCAGAAAAAGGTTTAGTTATAATAACCAAGATTTGGTTATAGTGATCAAGTGGCATAGTTGGATATGGCGAAATAAATATATAGTTCACGAAAGTCTGCAATTTACTTAAGACTTCTAGTTGGGACAAATGTATATTTGTTAATAATTACAAAACGACTACCTTGATTGGACAATATTGTTAGTTGAATAAAGTCATTGTTGAGCAAATATAAACAATGCTTTGGTTGATACAAGTTTTCAATTAATTTTGTGAACTTGCTGTAGACTTGAATCAGCTAACCGTTTATTATTGGAAAAAAAGTTTCAGTTTGACACAAATAAAAATTTACTCGATGTTTGTTGTGTCTACTTTGTTCTTTTATTTGCATATATTAAGCATAAGAAACACGTACATATTTACATAAGTTAGTTACTAAAGTAAATAATACATATGTATATGGTGGTAAGAATTTCCTAAAAAACAACGATGATACAGGAACAGTCGTGCGAAAACCCAGGTCAATGTCTACTGGAAGTATACTGCTTTGCTTTTTCCTTGGCTAAATAGACACTTTCAAATTATAATTCACATGAATTATATATCCACTGAAAACCCCCGGTTGGCATCAAACTTTATATTTTTATATAACTATGCGCGCACCAAAACAACTCGCGGTGATAGAAAAACTGAGACAAACAATTCTGTGCATGTCAGTACACACTTTCCTTTCTCTACCTAGCGCAGCGATCGACATGCCATAGCTTTGGGACCACATGCGTGTTTCACCCATATACGAACAGCGGTAGCGGAGCAATGATTTCCACGCACAATGCAATGGTCGGCATACTATCACATTCAAACGATTCAATAAGTGGGACTATGTGCGCTGCTCAGCTCTTCGGATGTGAAACACATATGTGCTCTCAGAGAGCGCTCAGCATTCTTTAGGGGTGGCTCACAAGCATGAATATGTTCCACTCTCAAACCAAATCGTGGTTGCCTCAACCAAGATTTGGTAACTATGACTAAACCATGTGTTGAAAGAAAGCTTATCTGCATTAGCAGAGCTTAATAACATCCTTTTATGAACCATACGTTCAAGTTCAATAGAATTTGTAGAAATATGCTTCAAAGAAATATTTATTAGTATTAACCAAACCCTTCAACTAAATTAACGATTTGTTACAACCTAGATGAATATTAGAAGCTTTAATATATTTAGTTATAATTACCAACCCATGGTAATAGTTCCCAATCCTTGGTAACAGTTCCCAAATATTGTCAAAATTCGGAAACTAAATATCTTTAGTTGTCGAAACTAATCCTTTTTCTCAGTGTAGGATTATCGGTTAATGAAACACACTTAGTAAAATTTTTAAGTTAAATTAGCATCATAGTGTTATTTTTTGAAGACTTCTGAAGTGAAATAGTCTTATTCGATCAAAAAATATGTATTTTTTTAACGATTTTATAGCAATTCTATGAAAAAATGTACTTTCCCCATGTAAAATACATGGGAAACTTCAAAGCCCCGGCGACACGGGTAAATATTAATCGATTTCAAAATAATCTTATTTTTGATATTCTTCAGTTCTGGGGTAGCAGCAGGAACAATCAAAAAGTTGATTTTCTTATGTATTTTTGGGCCACCCTAATGCATGTATATGCATTTTCGTAACGTGTTTCCACGAACACTGTATATTAAAAAAAATAGGCAGCGTTTATACTTATGCAGTATTTTGGAAAAAACCGCACTATCCCTCTTTGGAATCCAAAAAAAGTATTATACTGCCAAAACAGGTATAGCTACGAGCGTTATATATAACTCTTCTATAGCAAGAAAAGTTTTTAGATCATTATTTGCACACCGTTTGTATACAAATAATTTAATTTGTTTTTGTTATTTTTTGGCCTTTTATAACAATTATATTCAACAATTTATATTGAGCTCGAGGGCGTTTTAAATGAAAATTTTATTGTGGAAAAGCAACAATAATTTGAAACAAGTAAGAAAGTCTAAGTTCGGGCGGAGCCGAACATTAAATACCCGGCGCAAGTATTAAATATATGTTTTCCACCTTTCCGAAAGCTACCGCTACATGATAAGCCGG